CGTAGCCCGAAGTTGTTACAACATAAGTTTGAAGATTCCTCTAGAAAGTAAAAAAGGTAACAAAGTGGAGAAGAAAGTCGAGTCGGAGGAAATCAAAGCAGAGAAGGGGGAAGAAGGAAGAGAAATAGAAACGAAAGAAGGCAAGGAATCTCAAGTGATGTTAGTAGGGCTTGATCCTCGAGTTAAAAGCAAAGGAGAAAACATGGAACCCATCGGGACAATGGTTGAGTTTCAACTCGGATCATTGCCCGAGCAAGTCATAAAAATGGGTTCCAAGTTAGAGGTCGAAGTGGCTAGCAGGTTAAGAGAATTGCTAAGGAAGAACGCATATGTGTTTGCTTGGAGGCCATCAGATATGCCCGGCATAGATCCGGCTTTGTCATGTCATCGCTTGTCGGTAATACCCGGTTCTAAGTCGGTGGCTCAGAAAAAGAGGAAGTTCTTCCCGAAAAAGAGGAAAACAATTGAAGAAAAAATGAATGAGTTGTTAGAAGCGGGGTTTGTACGTGAAATAGAATATGCAACGTGGCTAGCGAACCCGGTATTGATAAAGTAGCCAGATGAGAGATGAAGGATGTGTATAGATTATACAGACTTGAATAAAGTCTGTCCTAAAGATCCTTTTCTTGTTGCAAGTATTGATCACTTGGTAGACAGTGCTTCCGGCTACAAATTCCTATCTTTTATGGATGCGTACTCGATATATAATCAAATACCAATGTTGAAGGAAGATAAAGAAAAGACATCTTTTATAATGGAGGAGGCAATTTACTGTTACAATATGATGCCTTTTGGCTTGAAGAATGCAGGAGCCACTTATATGAGGATGATGACCAAGGTGTTTAAAAAGCAGATAGGAAGGATGTTAGAAGTATATATGGATGACATGATTGTGAAGTCGGTAGACAGCCAAACACACTAATTTGACTTAGAGGAAGTTTTTGAACAGATTAGAAAACATAATACGCTGCTGAATCCGACCAAATATGCATTTGGGGTTCTCGTAGGGAAGCTTTTGGGGTTTTTTGTTGACGGAAAGAGGAATTGAGGCAAACCAAGATAAATGCCGAGTAGTGTTAGAGATGCAAAGCCCACGGAGTGTTAAAGAGGTTCAGAAGTTGAATGAGCAAGTAACAGCTTTGTCCAGGTTTTGAGTGGACGAAAAAGTGTGAAATTGCTTTTCAGAACCTGAAGCGAATCTTAGCATCCCCTCCTATCCCTAGCAAGCCAGAATCAGGTGAAATTTTATACTTATATTTGTCTGTTTCACAAGATGCAATTAGCTCGGTTCTTGTCCAAGAAGGAGAAGATGGAAGTCAAAAACTTGCATATTTCATAAGTAAGGTGCTGCAAGGTGGTGAAATTCGTTATTAGCATGTAGAAAATGTGGCGTTTTCATTGTTAATAACGGCAATGAGGTTCCGACCTTATTTTCAGTGTCACCAAGTAATCATCATGACTACCTATCCTATAAAGCAGTTATTGAGGAAGCCGGACCTGCATGGCAGATGGTCAAATGGGCAATTGAACTTTCAGAGTTTGATATTGGTTTTGAAGTTCAGGTGGCAATAAAAGCACAAGTGTTAGCAGACTTTGTAGTAGAGATGACCCACCCCGAAAATGAAGAAGCAAATTGTTGGTGGAAGCTATATGTAGATGGATCCTCAAATAAAAGAGGAAGTGAAGTAGGAATTATTATTGAGAACTCGGAAGTAGTTGCTATTGAACACTCGTTAACACCACAGTTCCTCACGAGTAACAATCAAGCTAAATATGAGGCGATGATTGCAAGGCTTATTCATGCTAAAGAGCTCGGAGCTGAGTTCCTGCAAGTGTATAGTGATTCACAATTAGCAACATCACAGATCAATGGTGCTTACCAAGCAAGGGGGAGATCATGATAAAATATTTGGCAAAAGTGTAAGACTTGATGAAAGAATTAAAAGAGATCCGAGTAGATCATATTCGGAGAAATGACAATGTTCGAGCAGATGCACTTTCCAAGCTGGCAAGTACTAAGTCCACGGGAAACTTGAGGACCGTAATACAGAAAAATATCTAGGCTCCGAGTATTGTATGGATGATAGAGGAAGGTACTTGGATGGACCTAATTATTGCCTTTTTGAAGAATGGAGAATTACCTGAAGATAAGAAAGAAGTCGCTAAGTTGATACGGAAGGAGGCATGGTTTGTGATTTTAGAAGGACAACTATATAGAAGAGGGTTTAACTCGCCTTTATTGAAACGTATAGCCTCACCGGTTACCGAGTATGTCCTGGAGGAAATCTATGAAGGCATCAACAGACACCATCTTGGAGGAAAGTCATTATTGAGAAAAGCCATCTGTGCAGGGTATTTTTGGCCTACTATAGGGGAAGACTCTAAAAGACATGTTCAAAAATGTGAACAATGCCAGAAATTTTCTAATGTCTACAAAGCTCCCCCGGAATAGTTATTTACAATTTCCTCTCCATGGCCATTTTATAAGTGGGGGATGGATCTTTTAGGTCCATTTCCCAGAGCAGCAGGTAGAGTTAAATATTTGATTGTTGTTGCAGATTACTTTACAAAGTGGATAGAGGTGGAGCCCGTAGCAACTATCACTGCACGGAAGGTACAAAAATTCTTCTTTAGAAGGGTTGTTTGTAGGTTTGGTTACAGACAATGGAACCCGATTTATAGACAGAAAGTTCCGACAAGCAATAGCTGACTTGGGTGTAAAGCATCATTTCGCAGTAGTGGAACATCCACAGACAAACGACCAGTGGAATCTGCCAATAAAATCCTCACTAATGGATTGAAGAGGAGAGTCGAAGGCTGCAAAGGCAAATGGCTAGAAGAGCTTGACAATGTATTATGGGGGTACAAAACATCAATCCAATCTAGTTCTCAGGAAACTCCTTTTAAGATGTCTTATGGATTTGATGCAATGTTACCAGTTTAAGTCGGAGAGCCTTCTTGGAGGAGGAAGATTAGGGAGGAAGAAAAAGAAGAAGTAAATGGTGAATTAACGAAGATTGATTTACATTTGTTGGAAGAGGAAAGAGAGAAAACATCTATTGTAGAGATGGATTCCGAGCAGCGTGCAGCGACCAGATATAACTGAGCTGTGATAAAGAGATTTTTTGAACTCGGAGACTTAGTGTTGAGGAAAGCATATATAGGAAATAAGAATGCAGTGGACTGAAAGTTATAGGCTAATTAGGAAGGCCCCTATAGAGTAGCAGCTAGCACTCATACAGGAGCCTATCAACTCGAGCATTCGGATTGAATATCGGTTCCAAGGCATTGGAACGCGGATAAATTGAAGAAATATTTCAGTGAAGTTTCCAAAAGCAAGGAACTCGCTCATATTGTTTTATTTTTATGAATGAATTTTATGATTTCAAGTCTCGTCTAGAGTAGATGTAAGGGAGTATTTAAGTTTAATGTTTAAATAAGAAGAATTTAAATTTGAAGTTTAGATAGGAAGTATGTATGTTTGAATTTTAGTTAATTTGTATTCTTGAATTTTAAGCAAATAATATCAACGATTTCTCACAAAACAATTCAAGTACAAAAGAAAGTAAAAGTCCCTTGAAGCCAAAGATGGACTTTTGGGCACCCGTTCAATTCCTACTCAGAAGCGGGCAAAATAGAAGTCCCTTAAAGCCAGAGATGGACTCTTGGGCATCCGTTCAATTCCTACTCGGAAGAGGGCAAAGAGTCCCTTGACGCCAAAGATGAAATCTTGGGCACCGGTTCAATCCCTACTCGGAAGCGGGCAAATAAAAGTCCCTTGATGCCAGAGATGGACTCTTGGGCACCCGTTCAATTCCTACTCGGAAGCAAGCAAAACTTATTACTCGATTCTTTTTATGGACTCTAGGGAACCCATTCAATTAGTACTCGGAAGCGAGTAAGATTATGATGGAAAATATGATAAAAGATAACAAGCAAAACGAAATAAAGCAAAGAGTAAAAAGAGGCCGTCGTCGTAAGGCCATCACTGCTGAATGGGATGATATTAGCATTCCCATGAACACTGTTGTTGAAGCAAGAGATCTTTGGGAGGTATAATATTGCAGTATGATACATCAATTATCTTTTACTTCGAGGCATGCATGCTTTTTCTTTCACCACACTTCATTCTCATTGGATACTGATCATGGTGTAACGTATCTTCTAATCCATGCAGCACAAGACATTGGGAAGAAAATTCGTGGGTAAAATGACTGCCACTGTAGAACCACATGCTTGCAAAATGTATATGTTGAAGCCAATAGTAGATTGAGTTCCAAAAGACATTTGGATTGCAGCTTTGGGACCCAATGGACTAACACATGTTATTTCTTGGTCTATGTCAACTTTAATATTAGTGTCTCGTGAATTAACATCTTCTACTGTTTCTACTCGTACAAGTACGCTAACTTATTCTATTTTAACAGGCTTCCATCTTTTTCTTCTTCTTTTTGGAAATACAAGCTTCCATCTTCTATAAACCTTTATCCTAACACGTTTTCTTAATTTCACCGAGCACAAATTTTTTGTCGCATGCTCTGGTACTGGGTTTTTGTTATGTCTCCTTATCAAAGGTAGAAGATGGGAACATATATCGTATAAAGTAAGCCAATATGGAACGTGGGCTATTCTGTTAGGGAAGCCAGCAAATGCAGCAAAGAAATAGAAATTCATTATTTACCATGCATTATATTAGGATCCATTTCATTGACATTATAGTATAGTATAATAGATAGTAATATAACAGAATTATGTCAACATACTAACGTGAAACTTGAGAGTGAGAACGTGCCAAAATTTGTTGGCACTTTGAGAAGGACTAGAAATGTCATTTTTGATGCAATAGTTAGTAAACTACAATTGAGAGGACGATAACTTCTTTTTTCTATCCAAAAAAGGTTGATAACATCTATTAAAAAAAGGTTTATAACATGATAAGTACACCAATGGAAATGAGCCGTTTAGGGGTATTTAGAAACATAATTCAATATTTAGATTAAGGGATTGAACGGAGTTGTTTATTCTGATGGGGAAAAGTCAGACCGATTAAATTGAAAAGTTATAAGAGACACGGCAAGGGATTCACATATGTTACACAAGCATGATGGTTTACACATGTATGTCAATTTGGACAGATTCTTTTTGACTATTGATTTAAAGAAGTAACGTGAAAATCAAGGGATACCAAAAGGGTGTGTTTCACAGATATCGGGATGCAGTAATATGAAGGTGCTGACTACAAAATCTTGTTACCTAAAAGCCACTGTTGCAAACCAGTGATATTATACACAACATTCATATTTGGTCCATTTACCGGAAGAGCCTTGACACTGATCTCTTAAAGACTTTTCCGTCAAGCTTTAGTCGTCTATGTGCTTCTCTCAAATGACATGGTCGGATGGGTCCAGATTCCTTCCTCTCTTTCATAACTATTCTAGCTGCAAAAATAGTACATTACCTTTGATTAATGGAAACAATTGGAATCGGCTTATTAGCCTTCTTAAGACCAATACACTGCAACATTGACCTTGAAAATACTATAAGCGTAGAAATATTCACTGTGTTATGTATTTGCATTTTTCTAATTATTTTAGAAAGATATATCTCATGCTTGTAAAGGAAAACTAGCCATACCCGTTTCAACAACTTCCCCAACAAACATTTTTGCAATCCCTGAGACTACAATCGTCATTGGCACAGAAATTTTCTGGGTCCCAGTAATGCTTGCTAATATCTGCTTTCATGTCATCAAGAGAGGAGAGTAAGCAACTTGCATTCTTATCTTATTATAATATAAAGTAGCGCAAATTCAGAAGCAAAAATGGCAATCTGCAAAGTACACGAATCCCAAAGTAGCAATGAGGCACAAACCATTCTTAAAGAATAACCATGGAGAAAATGCAAAAAAGGTTAGCCCAAGTGGCTAAGCATTGTAGAAAGTCCAATCAGTTATGGTGGTATAATTTGATCATTTATGATTGACATTAGAATTCATTTTTTCCCAGTCAGTTTGGCAGAAAATAAAACAGAAAACTGAAGGTCTGATGCTGATGCAGGACGTGCTAGCACCAAGAAAGCAAAAGCTTAAAGATAAAATCATCTTATGCTATGTCTGTTTTATATTCTGCAAACTGCAAATCAGTTGATCAATGCCCAAATACCCACAACAACAGAATGTAAAGCAGGCAGGCCTTTTGTTATTTTTTTTAATTAGGGGCAGATTGTATTATTCCATTTCTATAACCTAACTGGATCATAATTATTAGGCTTACTAGTATTTGTAGGTCATCAATTTAGTAATTTTTTGTAGGTATTGGGTTGCATTTGGGGTTGGCTATATGTTCTTATAGTATTACTAGGTTTTAGTTCTAATTTCCAAGTTTGTCACATTGATTTAGTAGTAGTAAGTAGAGACTGAGAGAGTTAGAATCCTTAGGGCTTGTTTGGGAGTCACTATTAAGAGGGAAAGGGAAGGAAGAGGGAGGTTTTACTTATGTCTTCCGCTTGTTTGTGAGTTTAAAAAAATGGGGGAAGGGAATTGAGGATTTTTGTAAAATCCTTCTCGCCCTTAAAATCAAAGTTCTCTCAATTTGGGAGGTTTAAGGGGGAAATACCCTTCATTTTTAACTCCTAAACAAGGGTAAGGGAATACCATTCATTTTCCTTCCCCTTCCTTCCATTTCCCTCCAAACTCCCAAAGAAAGCCTTAGAGGATAAGGAATGTATTAGTAATTATTGCAGGATAACTGATAAGAGGTAGGAGGTTTATTCAAACCATTGTGTTATGTAATGCTCTTTAATTTTTGATACATGAACAACAGTTTCATGAATTATGACAGCATATTGATCTCTTCTTGATTGTTAGATACAATCAAATTCAAACCCTAGTAATGGCATAAATTAAATTAAAACAAAAAATGAGATTACCCTTTTCATGTTAGCTTTCTGAAATCCAGCTCTACGAAAGGACTCGTATCTGCTCATCTGTTCTTCAGTGAACTGTGACAATATAGCCCTGAACATTCATTCATTCAACAAGAATAACAACTAAGTAAGCATAAATAAATGATGATATTAAATTAAAGTAATAAGAATAAGAAAATGAATATTATTGTTAATATTACTGCATCTTGGCCATTTTGTGAGGGTCACCGGCTGAAGGAAGCTTTGCGAGCTCAACATCCATGTTATCTTCCTCTTCCTCATCCTCTTCTTCTTTATTCTTCGCTGTGCCTGTTCCTGTTCCTGTAGTATTAGTATTATTAGTATTAGTATTCACCTTTTTCCGATTACCAGCATCTTCATGATCGTGACTGCTCGGTTCTGCGACAACAACAACAGAATTAGGGTTTTGTGTCTCTGTCTCAGCCTCAGCCTCAACCTCAGTTGGGGATTCAGGTGGTGATTCCTCAAACGCTGCTTCGAATGGATCCTTTGATTGCTTCATTCTGTTACCAATTCACAATTTTCAAATTGAATCCCACCACACTAGCACCAAATCATCATCTGATTCATCTCTATATCACCCGGGTCGGGTTGGATCTCGCTTCTAAAATTCGGACTTGGATTTCGTCACATTTCCGGTTCGGTTAGATTTTCGGATTCACTGAAATGATTAATTTTAAGAAATTAATATTTTTAAAACAATATTTGATTAAAAATATTTTTAATTCTGAAATAACGTAATTCAAATTCGTATTAAAAGTAAAATAAATCACCGATAAACTAAAAACCTTAGTTAAAATAGAAAACTACTTAATTCAAGACAAATAGTAATAAAAAATTATAATTTATTGTTATTTTTCTGTAATTAAGTTTTTTCGTACTTTAGTTAGAATTATCCTTTTCATTATGGAACTTTCATTGGCGTTGAAAAGAGACAAAGAATTCTTGGGGTATTGGAGATTGGAACAGATCCACTTACCACCAAAAAAATTTACAACCTTTACAACCAACATAATTACCGTTTATTTCCGTCAATCTAACGGTTATCATTTATTAGAAATTATTTGGTCGTATTTATTAATTAATTATTAATTCCAATAAATGATAGCCGTTAGATTGACGGAAATCAACGGTGATTACGTTGGTTGTAAAGGTTGTAAACTTTTTTGGTGGTAAGTGGATCCATTCCCTTGGAGATTTTAAAGAATTTTAATGAGTTATTTTTGAAGGGGGAGGATATTGTAATAAACAAATAGTATTACTATCAATGTTATCAATCAATTTCACCATTAGATCGATTATGTTAATCTCACGGTTATATTTATTTTCATCCTTGTATGGATATGATTCCTCATATTTAAAGTAAAAGCATTAAATATGAGAAATCATAACCATACAAAGGTGGAAATAAATATAACCGTTGGATCAACATAATCGATCTAACGGTAAAATTGATTGGTAGTAACATTGGTAGTAACACTATTTGGTTGTTACAATATCCTATCTCATTTTTGAATAAAAAAATTTATTGGTATTAAATTAGAATTTTAAAGGATTCAAAAAGAAGTCACGTGGTATTCGTTTAGGATTTTAAAAGATAATTTTAGAATCCGTCTAAATCCGTTTAATATTCAATCAGGATTTTAAACAAAGGAAAAATAATTTTGTGGTATTCAAAAATGTGACAATTTTAATGGATTTTTTATTGGTGTGAATATCATGAGACTTTTTAGTAAGAAATATAAATATGATATTTCTCTCAAATCTCACCTTAATCCCTAGGATTTCTTGAGATTTCTCTATTGCAGACTTTTGCAGTGTTTTTTTCTTCTTTTGGCGGGTTGACCCGCTCGAAATCGGATTCCGCCATGGGAACTTCATCAAAGCTCAAAACTAGTAGATTTTTTTAGCGATTTTTATCATAAAATTAGTGTTTTAAAACCTCACTCCGCCCCCGGGTTGACCCCGGTCAACTCTGACCCCTCCCCTCTGAGGGTTGGGGTCACAAGTTAGACCCTATATGCACATCGACCCCTCCGACCCCCAAAACTCGACCGGATTTCAGTGACTCCCGGGTTAGAGGGGTCAAAGGGGGTCACAACATATATATTTTTTTAAAAGAAAATTCCATGACACAACGTCATTTTATTAAAAAAATAAAATAAAAATGCTTGCAAACCTAAATCTAATCGTTCTCTTCTCTCCCAGCGACCTAGACTTGTGGTATCTTGATACTTTGGTATCATTAGAATATGAGTTTTGTACTTTGGTATCTTGATACTTTAATTAGGTTGTGTAATATTGACTTGTGGTTGTAATTGGTGAATTATGTTAAGTATATTTTGAATCTTTGATGATTGGTGATTTGGTTTTTAATATTTTCATATAAGATATATATATTTATTTTTTTAATATATAAAACCGAGTCAGCGTAGTGACACCATGACCCCCCGGTTGAACCCGTGACCCCTGACCTCGGCCGGGTCGATAGCCGGGCCAGGTTTTTAAACACTGCATAAAACAACCCAGAAACAACAAATCAACAAGATTCTAATATAATTCATCTTAAAAGCAATAGATTTTTGAGAGCTTTTGGAAGTTTAAAAAATAAATTTTCAAACTATGGGTCACGATTTTTCTTAGCACAAAAGGTGTGCTTTTTGTATTAAAAATAACATAACACAGTGGGAAACAATAGGGGAACTGAAACTCTCAAACCAATTTTCGTTTAATGAAACAATATCAATTTAAAGAAAGATTGAAACTTTCATAATATGAACCCTATATTTCGTAACAATACATTCATGAACGAAATTCCTTCGCTATAGGAAACAATTTCAAATAATTTTCGTGTCAATAGATAACTAAAAACTTGTTTTTCAAAAGCCTCAAAGCAATTTAAGATTTCAATATATCGATTGAAAATAATTTAAGAAATTTTCTAAACTTTCATGTAATAAAACCCAGAAAATCAGATTCAAGATTTTCTTACAATACTCAATGAAAACATGCATATGATATATGTTTAGAAAACTCTCATCACGTAGAACAAAAATTCCAAGGTTTCCAAGATCAATTGTAAAAAATTCCAAACAAAATTTTATCAAGAACTTTAGGTTCTATATGCAAATTTAGAATTATTTTAATAAATAAAAAAATTATGTCTTGTAATCATATGTGCACAGCTCTAATACCAAATGAAGAATATAATTTTCAACCCATTAGTCAAACCCAAGAGCAAGAACGAGAAATGTTAATGCGTGGAGGACTAGTATAGCTTTAGATATATAGAGAGCTATTGCTTAGTAATTTTGAATATTTGTTAAAAATTATATTAGGTTTTACTTTTTTTTAATATCATTGCATTTCTTTGTTTTTTGTTGTTGATTCTTGTAATTTTGAATGTTTGTTAAAAATTCATATGTTTTTTAAAATCTTATAAATTCATATTGTCCTTTCAAATCTTATAAATTCTATTAAAATTCTTTAAAATTCAATCTAATGAAATCTTGATTGTAAAAAGGTCTTTTAAAAAAGTCTTTAAAGTCCCTCAATACTAAATAGTCTTTTAGAATCTATAAAAAAATTTATCTCAAAAAAATCTTTTAAAATCCTAATCCAATACATCTCCTTAGTTAAGTAAAAGCAAAATAAAATGTATGAGAACCTACAATTACACCATGTACTTAGTTAAAGGAGTCATTTTTAAAAAATTAAATCATTGAAAATTACAGGTACACTTTAAAATTAAAATTTGAAAAAAATTCATATTATAAATGAGAAGCAAAATTTCTAAACTATCTTATATTTTTTTTCCAAACCATGAATCGACAAAATTATTTTTGACTAAAAAGCTTTTAAAGATAAAAAAAAATGCTATTTATTATAATTTTAAATCACGAGGAAGTGAATGCTAAACTACGAAACTGTGTTTCATGTATCTTACACTGCACAACTAATATGTCATACAATCATCCTGAACATTTACGACACCGTTTCAAGGTTACTCCATCATTGCAAATCCAATTCCCAAGTAATATTATTGTATCAACAAAGAGCAAAAGAATTAAAATATTACAATTTAAATAAATACTTACGAATATATAGCTTTTTTCGTACTATTTATGGATATATTGCAAGATCTCACATCCTGATTGAGTGATGTTGGACAAATGGCTTCAATACTCAATAAGGGAGTGAATTGAGTTTTATAAAATCTTTTCGCGAAGTGTTTCCTTTGATATGTTAAAGAGAGATTCTTCAAGAAAATGATTTAACAAGGAAAAGTCTAGGTGTAGGAGCAAGTATATAATTAATAAAGTAAGTAAGCAAATAAACAAACACAATCTAAAAATGCAATTTCAAGACTAAAGTAAGGAGTTTAAGGTTAGAGAAAATGCAAACTAGATGTATACTGGTTCGGTCACCACCACCGTGACTTACGTCCAGACTGAATCTGCTCGATCAAACTTTTTCACTAGCTATCAAGCTCGAGGGTGCTTGACAAACCACTACAACCTTTCAAGATTTTGGGCTCTTTACGCCTTACAATTTTTCACTCTAAATTTTCTTAGGAATTTGGTGACCTCTCAAATGTAAAGGGCTCACTCCCTTAACTATTCAAGAAATCAAATGAAAGTGTTTAACAACAGCTAAGTGCTCTCAAAGCATATATTATACAAGTTGAAGAACTATGGGTGTTGATTCTTTCACAAGAATAAAGCTCAAAGAGTATTTATGATCAAGATGAATGAAAATAAGCAAATGATATGATTTAAATCAAGAAGAGTTATTAAATCAATGGAACAGTAATCTGTATTTATAGAGGGGCCCCATGAGAGTTTATATAGCCATTTTCACACAAGTAGCCATTTATAGCCGTTATTTTCATTTTCTGGTGCAGGAGGGAATCAATTCCCTTGCTATGGGAATGGATTCCCAACCTGTTGGAAAGGTTGGAAATATGTTCATAAGCATTCTTCTTTATTTTAAATCCCTTTCAAACATATTCAATTACTTGATTGAATCTTGAAAACATATTTTTATAAATGTGTGATGCTAGAAATCCTTTTTGTTATCAAAAGATGATTCAATGCATGTACTTTAACAGAAATATTTTGAGCTTACTCATGCAAGAAGTCAATTACCAACACAATTAATTCTAAGTCCTAAAGTATATTACTTGAGAATTCTTAGACTTATATTCTTCTTTAGAAGCTTGAATCTTAATGGACTTCATGAATGTTAGTTTTTTATTTCTTTTTGAATGTTGCAACTTGAAGCCTTCTTTCCATGCTTTATTTATTATCATCAAAATCCTTGAATCTTTATATTCTGCATTGGTTCCACAAGTGCTACGTAGGTCATGCCCCTTTTAGGCGTGACCAAACACGCCTCACTTAAACGTGACATAAGAGAGAGAGAGACACGCCTTGTTTAGATGTGACCAAGAGAGAGAGAAAGTGTTCCAAAAAGTTTGGGTCTACAAGATTGAGAGAGAGAGAAATAAAACTAGAATAGGGCCGAGAAACAAACCATGGTGTAGAGAAGGGATCTTCCAACTGAATAATGCAAAGAGATCATTGAGGTGAATGTGAGGGAAGCATTCTTTGATGTAGCGTTCA